TTAATTCTTCAATCTGATTACAATTGTGCTTAAATAGAGAAAAAAAATCTCACAAAATAAAATCTCACACAATCAAATCCCTTACAATAAATAACTACCAAATCTAAACCTAATTTGAAATTCAAATCTAAACTAAAATTCAAAATTCGAAATTTGAAATTGACTACTAAAAAGTGAAATAATTAAAATTCAAATAATAAATATGGAAATTATCTTTATTGTTCTCATCATTCTCCCTGGATAGGAGAAAACTCGACTCCGTCGAGTTAGCTGCAGAAGCTTGCCATCTTCAATATAGTCTGCATGTATCTTAATCTGCCATGAGTTACTTTCATGCATCTCAAATCATTAGTTAAGTTGCATTGTAAATTCACCATCTATAATATTATCAAAATTCACTACAGTTTGGGTGAATATATAGAAGTGGGGTAAGGTAAAAAACTCTCAGAAGCAATATGCTAGGGTCAGGCTTATTTCAGTGGATTACCGATAAATATTGTGAATTGCGTAATCAATCAATATTGAAAATAGAACTATGACCAAACCAATAATATAAATGTTGCCATCAATTAGTTCAAGAGTTGGAAAAGCTTATAAATACCATATCAAATCTTAAACAACTATAAAAGAAATTGTTTTGGACAAGTCCAAACCATCTCAAATATCATCATTAACAGTTTTAAATTATGTCCTGACTTCATATCATACATTTCAGTTAACAATGTATTTATTCAAATTAGATCACTGATTCCCTAATATATGATCAATGCAAATAAAAACAAAATGATGCAAATCAACTCAAATGACTATGTATGAAATGCAGACTCGAACAATGCGATCAATGGCAGATGTAACTCAACAAAGTGTTTAACATGCATGACGTCCTCTTTCAAATGGAATAATTAGGCGTTCCTTCGTTAATATGAATAACAAATTTCCTCTTTAGCAGTGATAGTGAGGAACATGCAAACAAATGTATGAATGAGTGTTTTTGTGTGCTTAATATGGGAGAAAAAAGAAACGAAAACACTCGTGCTCAAACTTGTGTCCCTAATCACTATATATTCCCAAAATGGATCAGTGTATGTGTGAGCTCAAACTTGTGTCCCTAATCACTATATATTCCCAAAATGGATCAGTGTATGTGTGAGTGACTGTCGGGACAATGCATAGTGTCCCTAATCACTATATATTCCCAAAATGGATCAGTGTATGTGTGAGTGACTGTCGGGACAATGCATAGGGGTTTGACATCTGATATGATAGCTATTTCACTATGTTCAAATTGGGATTCAACTTTCATACAGATATCTGAGTGACTCACTTTAGGAACCGAATCAAGAACATGTTGGGTGTCATGTTGGTCCGGGAGGACTTCGTAGGGAATATCAACAACGTTTTCAGTCATTGAAGTGAATTCAAGAGGAGTTAGAGTTTCAATTTCAGGAACAACTTCAGGGACAACATTAATGAACTCCGTGATCAAAGGGGTAGTTTGGGGAATAATCGGAGTGTTGTCATTGCATGAAACTTCAGTTAACTCCACAATTGCAAGGGTAGTTTCAGAAGAAATGGAAGTGCATGATTTTTTTATTTTACTATCCCGAAATTTCTTATCAGAGTTAGATTCTATCAAATCTATGGCTGGTTAACGGTTTCCTCAATAAGAGGTTTTGATTCCGTTATAGGCAGCTTATTAATTCTAACTCTGAACGGGGTCGTACAGATGCTAGTGACGTGCCCATATCCTTGACAATTGTAACACTGAATTATTGGGCGAAGTTTGGAAAAATCTCTTACTGACTCCTTGCCCTTAGGATCGACTCTTAGTTAGGAAGAACTAAGGTTAGGCCGACTTGGAGGTTGACTAGAGGTAGTGGCACGGGAGGGCTGACCTTGATCTTGCGGATACAGAGTTGTAACAGGCGCTTTTCCTAGACTAATGCGCGTCTGGTTGGTTGCATCTTGGAAGGCCTGGGCTACGACACCTAGTTGTATTTTTAGTCCATCGAATTTCTTAAGGAGTTCGGGAGACATGCTGGACTCACTTGTCGATTCACTCGACTCTCCTAGAGTAGACCTGTGCGATTAAGCATGTACTAACAATTAACTGGGATGAGTGGGATGCATTGACAGCTAAATGAGATGAATGAGATTTTTTTTAATATCAAATAAAAGACTCAACTAAAATAAAATAAAATAAAATAAAATTTTCTAACCTAGAACCCTGCTCTGATACCAAAAATGATGCGGAACGGGACATGAGGTCTATCAGAATCAGCGATCTAAATCGAACAACACATCGTTTCGTCAAAATTCATGATCTTCGGTAGGAAATTAATTTAAAAATAATTAATGTGACAGATGGATTTAAACAAGATTTGCATCAACAATCATGAATAGTTCCAATCTCAAACAATATAATCGTAATATTCATTATCATTGCGCAAGCTCTACAATCAATATCAAAATTCAATAGTCACATGTTTAATTATTCTCAACTCACAATTATAATTTAAACAGTGAATATAAGATAAGAGTTCAGAGGTGATATACTCATGCAATTAACTAACAAAATAAAATTAACAGAAAAATAATTCGGAAGATAAATGATGCATCAGAAAACTAACAAACGGGGCAGGCGACGACATCGACTGAACGACGACAATGCGTTAGTGGGGCTGCCCGTCGGGGCTGCTCGTCGAAAGAGATGATGTGGTGGAGTCGCCTGAGGATGGGAAACAGGGGGTGGAGGCGCTTGAGGATGGGAAACAGGGGGTGGAGGCGCTGTTGTTGATAGGGAGGGGAGCAGGGAGGCGCTGTTGCTGAGGGAGACACGGCTGCAGGCTGGGAGGAAAAGAGCAGAGGTGCTTCGTCGTTGGAGTAAGGGAGGAGGCGATGGACTGGTAGTCGGCGGGGAGAATAAAGAAGAGGAGTCGGGTGTGGGTTTGTTGTTCGGAAGTGGGGGAAAGAACAGAGGAGGGGGCGGTGCTGGTGGGCGGAGGAGAAGAGAGCCGGGGAGAGGAGTTTGGAGTCGGTGGTTGTGGGAAAGGGGAGTGGTTGGAGGGCGGCGACTTATGGAAGAGAGGCGGTTGATCGAGGAAGGAGGAGGAGGGTGGCGGCGGTTACTGGAGGAGGTGAAGGAAAAGGGGTCTGGTTGCTACTCGAAGATGGGGAAAGGTAGGAGAGGATGTGTTCGGTGATGGAGGGGATGGTGACTGTTGTCGTGGAGGGTGTTGTATGGAGCGATGGCGCTGGTGGTGGACGAGAGAGAAGAGGAGTTGGGTTTGAATTTCCGTTGCTGGAGGATGAAGAAGGAGTTGGAGGCAGCTGAATGTTTATTTTAGTTATTTGGAGGAAATAGAGAGATGGAGTTGACAGTTGGATTTGGCAAGGGAGAATATCGAACAGCTGAGGAGAAAACAAAGAAGAAACAGTATAGGCTTAGGGTTTCACACCCATGGTTTCACACCAAATAAGCTAACACAATTTCATTTCAATTTTCAATTTATTAATTCTTCAATCTGATTACAATTGTGCTTAAATAGAGAAAAGAAAATCTCAAAAAATAAAATCTCACACAATCAAATCCCTCACAATAAATAACTACCAAATCTAAACCTAATTTGAAATTCAAAATAAAATCTCACACAATCAAATCCCTCACAATAAATAACTACCAAATCTAAACCTAATTTGAAATTCAAATCTAAACTAAAATCCTCACAATAAATAACTACCAAATCTAAACCTAATTTGAAATTCAAATCTAAACTAAAATTCAAAATTCGAATTTCGAATTTGACTACTAAAAACTGACATAATTAAAATTCAAATAACAAATATGGGAATTGTCTGTATTGTTCTCATCACCTAGCCTGAGTTTAATCTTGATCTTCAGCTATAGCTCTAAATCAAGAGTTCATTAGTACATGAGGGTTCAGTCATTCAGAGTCAACAGATGACTTCCCACTTCCAAAGTCTGTTAAATAGAAACCAAACATAAAAAGTCTATCCTATGTTGCACGGGTATGGGTGCGGGTGCGGACATGGACACAGGTGCAAATACGGGACATAACAAATTTGTAAAAGGTATAACACAGACATGGCTATATATACATATTAAAATTAATAATTCATATGAGATTGCTATTGTTTTTTCATTCACATGTTATGAGAACTAAAATTCTAATACCATTTTTTATTGAGTAGATTATATATTGAAAAGCCACTCCTTTTTGAGATATCCAAACAACCCTTTAAATTTATACGAACTGGGTATGGGCTGAAACAAACCTCACCAGAGTCCTATGAGTTGCATAAATTTGAGGTAAAGTGTAAGATACACGTCCAATTAGTGTATCACGAGTGTTTTAAACTAAAACATTTATTACATAATTGAGTACACGTCTGAATAAATGTATGTATATATTCAAGAGTGTCCAAAGAGTCTTGGGCACAAACATGGATACTGAAAGTGTCGGACATCAATATGGGAGCCCAGATGAAGTGTCATGGTAACGCAGATTCTTCCCATACTATTACACAACAAGTATAGAGGGGATAGTATACAGTAGATTAAATTCCTCGTTGAAGAGTATGCCTCAAACATGACGCCATTTGAGTCAGTAAAAGATAAATTCTGATTAGTACTAATCTGTATGAGTCTTAAATGGTTCTAGTATCATAGATATGCACACGAGCTGTCACATAATACCTTATATTCTATGTTTTAACATTGTGTGATTCAAGGAGAAAGGATTCTCACATGCAGCTCGAAACACAATCTATTATATAGACCAACGGAGTGACATGTTAGATATCTTCAAATAGAAGGATAAAGTATTGTCTTTTAATACCTTTTTCATGTGTATTTCATGTGTATAGGCATTATGATCCAC